TTTTTCGTTTATAACCGTCGAAAACTTTTGTTCCGTTACGTAATCTCTGAATGTTTGTTTTTTACGATTTTTTATGTATGCGATCTCGGAATGTGTACAAATAAGTTTGACGGTTGGATCGTTGAAAAACGTTTCGTAGAATGCATATTGCGTCAAAACAGTAGATTAAACAAACACTTAGAGTTAATATTATACTTCTATTAAGTATAAAATAAGTTTTGTGGTATCTACTAGTGTAAATACTTTAAATTAAAGATCAAATTTATTCATTACATTCTTATAGGGTCGAGGAGTGTATCTGTAAAAAATCATCAAAATCAGAGCTTAAATAACCGTTAAAATTGTGATTTTTCGTTTATAACCGTCGAAAACTTTTGTTCCGTTACGTAATCTCTGAATGTTTGTTTTTTACGATTTTTTATGTATGCGATCTCGGAATGTGTACAAATAAGTTTGACGGTTGGATCGTTGAAAAACGTTTCGTAGAATGCATATTGCGTCAAAACAGTAGATTAAACAAACACTTAGAGTTAATATATATACTTCTTCTATTAAGTATAAAATAAGTTTTTGTGGTATCTACTAGTGTAAATACTTTAAATTAAAGATCAAATTTATTCGTTACATTCTTATAGGGTCGAGGAGTGTATCTGTACAAAATCATCAAAATCAGAGCTTAAATAACCGTTAAATTGTGATTTTTCGTTTATAACCGTCGAAAACTTTTGTTCCGTTACGTAATCTCTGAATGTTTGTTTTTTACGATTTTTTATGTATGCGATCTCGGAATGTGTACAAATAAGTTTGACGGTTGGATCGTTGAAAAAAGTTTCGTAGAATGCATATTGCGTCAAAACAGTAGATTAAACCAAGGTTCTAAAAGTCACTAGGCGCTAGTCGGGCGGCGGGCTGGGGCCTAGCGCCTAGGCGGCTAGGCGGGGCCTAGGCGGGAGCCTAGGCGGATTTAAGTAAATCTATCATATTTCAGATAAATTAGTGTCTGCTTCTACTTGAAATATATATAATTTCATCATAAACTACAAAATAGAATGCATATATATCATGAAGTATTGGAACACAATGAAAACATGTGAAATAAGGATATAATGTTTGTTTATTCAAGTATGCAACAAGTCTCTTACAATTTATTAGAAAAAAACAAAATGCAAAATGAAAGTTATGTATTTTCTGTCTAAGTGAGTTGCAACCTAGGCGGGTCTAGGCGGGTGCCTAGGCGGGCTAGGCGGATGCCTAGGCGGGCAAGGCGGGTGCCTAGGTGGTCTAGGCGGTGGGCTGGGGCCTAGGCATTAATCGGGGCGGTGGGCTGGGGCCTAGCGCCTAGGCGGCGCTAGGCGGGGATTTTTAGAACAGTGGATTAAACAAACACTTAGAGTTAATATTATACTTCTATTAAGTATAAAATAAGTTTTTGTGGTATCTACTAATGTAAATACTTTAAATTAAAGATCAAATTTATTCATTACATTCTTATAGGGTTGAGGAGTGTATCTGTAAAAAATCATCAAAATCGGAGCTAAAATAACCGTTAAATTGTGATTTTTCGTTTATAACCGTCGAAAACTTTTGTTCCGTTACGTAATCTTTGAATGTTTTTTTTTACGATTTTTTATGTATGCAATCTCGGAATGAGTACAAATAAGTTTGACGGTTGGATCGTTGAAAAACGTTTCGTAGAATGCATATTGCGTCAAAACAATAGATTAAACAAACACTTAAAGTTAATATTATACTTCTATTAAGTATAAAATAAGTTTTTGTGGTATCTACTAGTGTAAATACTTTAAATTAAAGATCAAATTTATTCATTACATTCTTATAGGGTCGAGGAGTGTATCTGTAAAAAAATCATCAAAATCGGAGCTAAAATAACCGTTAAATTGTGATTTTTCGTTTATAACCGTTGATAACTTTTGTTCCGTTACGTAATATTTGAATGTTTGTTTTTTTACAATTTTTTACGTTTGCAATCTTGGAATGTGTACAAATAAGTTTGACGGTTGGATCGGATCGTTGAAAAAAACTTGTCATTACGAGTGTTTATATATTTTTTTACACTTATACATTAATTAAAAAAGTATTAAAGACTTTAGGTAAGCGAAAATATACTTAAAACAAAATTGCGTTTTTATGTTTTGGATGTGATAATATGAAATGTATATACTTATTTAGTATTATGTTTTTCATTTGATTATTTATTGGTTTAACATATATTTTCCTTAACGGGTAACGGGTCGGGTCATATTACCTGTTAATATTATCGGGTCGATTTCGGGTCGGGTCATTTTACCCGTTTATTTTAACGGGTGTTACACGACACGACCCGTTAACAGTGGCGGATCCACAGTGGGGTCGTCGGGGTCGCACGACCCCTTGGAAACCATGGAAACAACCTTGAAGCTCCCATATGCGACCTCTTGGAGCTGGGGTCGTCGGGGTCGGAGGCACGCCAACTGTTCGACAAAAGCCCTGAACGAAAACTGGGCAGGAAGAGGAAGAAGAAGCAGCTCTATCTCCTCCCTTGCTGCTGCTGCCCCCAAACCCTCAACTCCATCTCCTCCCTTGCTGCTCCCCTGCTGGCGGCTCTAACTCCATCTCCTCCCTTTGTTTATATTGTGACTTGTGAGTATTTATTTTGAATATTTTGTATATGTAGAATATATTTAATTAATTGAAATTCAATTCATATTTATTTTGTGAGTTTTTATTGTGAGTTTTTATTGATGGTTTGTTTATATTGTGAGTTTTTATTGGTTTGTTTATATTGAAATCCAATTCATATTTATTTTGATTATGTTGATGGTTTGTTTATATTGTGAGTATTTATTTTGAATATTTTGTATATGTAGAATATATTTAATTTAATTGAAATTCAATTCATATTTATTTTGATTATATTGATGATTTGTTTATATTGTGAGTTTTTTCATTTTAACACCAATTATTTTGTTAAAAATTATTAAAAAAATTTATTATTGTTCCATGCACAGATTAATTCGACACTGCACCAAACGCCCGACTAATGGAGTTAGTACTATCCGACGACTATTTATCTTATCCGACTGAAATAGTCAGTACAGTCCGAAGTACCAAACGAGGCTAAAAAAAAATTTCGCGCTGCGCGCGCTATGACCCCACAAACATCATTTCCTGGATCCGCCACTGCCCGTTAAGATATCGGGTATGACACGAAAACGACACGAACACAGAAAACACGACACGAATGCCAGGTCAATAAGAGAGGTTCGGTATCTGGATTTGAAGAGATGTGAATAAGAGCCAAAAAGAAGCTTGTTAATTAAGAGAAGAGTAGCCATAATAACCATGGCTGCCATTGTTTCTCTACAAGTTAGAGTAGATAGAGTAAGTGAGGGAGACGGTGAGAGCCTTGAGAAAATGGAGACAAAAAGTATACATTGTTAAATAAAAATTAATATTTTTTTAATAATTGTTGAATTATTAATAAAAGATTCGAGCACTAAAACATACAAATAGGAAAACCCATCAGCCTCCGCCTCCAAACCCACCAGCCATTTATACAATTCAACCGACTTCTACGAAGTTTCGCTCAGAGCGTGGCCTCTGATCATATGGTTCCCCACAGTAGTACCTGTGTCTTCAACATTTTTGAGAATTTTGAGGGAGTGATTGAGACACCCAAAAGCAACGTAGAATGATAAAATCCGAACAAGAATGTAGCTTTTTTGTGAGTCCATGAATTGTTAATTTGGGTGTTAATTTAGGATGTGCTTGCAGATCACTGGAAGCAACTAGTTTTTTGTTTTGTCCTTATATGTCATTTTACAGGAGGTTAAAATTGACATTAAAAAAATTATTGAAAGATGGGTGGAGAAATAAGACAACCGGGTGGATTTATCAGCATTCAATTTAAAATGAGAGCTACTAAACCTACTCTCATTGTCTTATTTTCTCACCCACATTATAATCTCACCCATCTTAAAAAGTTAAAAAATTAAAATGTTATTTCCCTACCTACTATTATTTCCAAAATAACCTTTAATATATACATACATATGAAATTATAAAATTGTCTCTTAAAAAATATAACAAATAATATGTAAATGAAAACCACTAAGATCTGCAAATTCAAATGGAAACGACAATGATATCTAAATTCAAAAGAATACGACAACGAAAAATTTAAAAATACGATGGACAAATTCAAATGGCCTACACACAAATTATTCTTCTACCTTTTCAATGGAAACATATTCTTCTACCTCTTTCGTAGAAGCGTCATCTTCCACCTGTTCAATGAAAAAGTCATCTTCTAAGTCCATTGCTATTTTTGTACTTTCTCTGAATGAAAGGAGATGAAAATATGAGTTAGGGTTTAAGCTAGACAAATCATCTCTCATGCCCAACTTTTTTTAAATTAAGCAAAACAAGATAATTAATGTTCTTATCAATCTTTTTGTAAATGGACAAATTTGTAATTAAAACTTTCATTAAAAGGTGGGTGGAAAGATAAGACATTGGGATGTGAATAACATCACTCTATTTTTATTCACATAATAAATTTGATAGCCATACATGCCACGTCATCAAATACATGCTACATAGTCTTGCCACATCATTACTTAACGGTAAATTTAAAAGATGTGTTATCCACACACCCCATTTGCATTGTAAACAAGGCAAAGTGTGCTATCCACACATCCCATTTTACTTCTCACACATTTCTTGATAATTTATATTCGTTGATCTTCTTCAATCCATCCAATCCGACGACCGAAAATTTAAAAGGTGTGTAAGAAATAAAATGGGGTGTGTGGATATCACATCTTTTTTTTCGCGACTTTACCAAAGAGGGGAGAAGACGGTAAGAGAGAAGGTGGGGAGAATGGCAGCGAGACAGGGTAATATCGTACGAAAGCAATCTCAAACTAAATCTGATGTGGATGGATTAAATTACCTTAGTAAATGATCAAAATTTGTCTAAATGCACGTTAATACACATATTGTAAATATAAAGATTGAGAATTCATTCCGTTATTCTGAAATATTACAATATTAAGCTTAGTATCATCCATAAGATTCAAATTCAAACTATAGGCCTATTATTGTAATAGAACATTGGATAATATTTGGTTGACACCATTTTATTATGCATCCCAGGTTAATTGAAAGGCCCCGCACATATGAGAAAATAAAGTATTACAAATGCACAAACAAACTTAGGCATTTTCTAAAGTGAGTATTGCTTCAACAATTGGGGAACTGTCACTGCCAGTTGACATGATTGACACGCATCCATGCCATGTCTTCTTCATGTACGCTTGACCTCTCGCCAAGAAACCATAGATTAAGATCCATTGAGTTTCAAAGTTATCAGCGAATTGAATATCTGTATAGACCTGCACTTACGTGAATATCGCAAGTATTTAAGAGATGTCAAATGTGTTTAATTTTCTTTAGTCGTTAGTGTAAATAATATAATATCGTTAATATGTCAAAAAAGAGTTATTAATACTCACCTTGTTGTCCGAGCTAGTCCTGTCCCATGGGTTGCTCCAAGACAACATCCAGTCGCATTCGTTGCTAACATGATTTAGTCCTTGGTACACAACAGCAGCCGTTGATCCAGAAGACGCTCCTGCAGTTTTGACGTGCAGAAACGCACCCCACTGACCATTTGCAATCAGTGGTGGGTATGGTGCGTTCCCGATGTGCCCATACCAATCTTTCTTATTAGCATAGCTTATGGTGTCCCCAGTTGCATTGTAAACAAGGCAGAGTGTGGAGACTCCGTCGCCATACTGTTCCTTCAGTTTCTCCACATATGTTCTAGCGTTGAAGTCCTTCTCCACGGCATTTTTCATATTCAACGCCACGTGTGCCCTGTCTAATCTTTCTATTTGCTTGTCGGCATACTCTGGCATCCCCTTCAAAGTTTCATCTGTGATGGGGTTGCCAAAAACGTTATACGTCATCTTTACACTGAACTTGATTAATTCTCTCTCTGTCTCTCTGTCTCTCTTGATTTTCCTCTAAAGCATTTCTATCAGAGGTAATCCATATTTATAAAGGAAAACTAATGAAAAAGGCTTGAAAACTTTGAGTTTTAATGATAAGGACAAAATAAAGGGTAAAGTGAATAGTACCAGGATTGACTTTTTAGTGTAAAAATGTGGTTTTTCGTTAAAGTGAACAGTACCGGGTGCTTTTCGTTAAAGTTCCCTATTTATAATCCCATGAGCAGAGCAGGGATGTCGACCAAAAGGAAAAGTCTGAAATGTCCCTAGAGAAAATAAAAAGAAAAAACGGTCACGCTCTCATGATGCAGCTAGCTTTGGAAGGAATGTGTGGCTGGAAGCAATCCCATCCTGTTTTGGAAGCAAGTGATGATATATCTCACAAGAACTTGATGGTATGCCGAGACCCCTTTTTTTTATGAAGCCCATACCAGTGCATCAAACTTTAAAAATCTCCCTCAATTGACCCATTTTACATAAGCAAAACGAGGCCGGCAGCGAATCGCCAGTAAAGCTGAAATAATCTTCCACAATCTTGAATTTTTCTTCTCATTCACAGAATCTCTATCACGTGAACAACGTTTTAGTTTCACATCAACGGTTGATATTGACATTAAGACGGATTGTAGAGAAAGAAAGTTTGTTGATATTGTCATTGAGAAGTTATTATCGTTTAGTCATCTATATGTATTAAACCAATCAATAGTCTTGGAAATAAGTAGCATTCTCATGACGAACCGTCGATTTGTTTTATGTGTATAAATCGCTTAAAGATCTCATGTGATTCAAAGTCATCTTTGCTGAGAGTCAAACTTAAGACCTCTCACTTACAAGTGAAGAGGAATAATACTAGACCGTAGTACTAAGTGGGTGGCGTCGTTACACCTTTTCCCGTTAATTCAACAACCTTATTCATTAATGCAGAACGACAAAGAGATAGAGGAGATATCAAAAAACACACAAGGCTTGACAGAAAAATGATAGAAGAGCAATGCTCAATTCTTCATTACCATAAAATTATAATTCCAAATTGTCCTTTAGCATATCAAACTCCCTCCCTAATATACTAGTGTGCCAAAACATCTTCATCAATGCAAATACAACTCCCTAAGCCACCGAAACATATTAAATGACAATTGTTCCACCTAGCCACTTAATTTAAAACATAACTTACAATGCATCAAAATTACTACAAAACATTACATCACAACCTAAGATACATGAATCTCAAATTAATAATTGACGGAATGGATGAACACCAAAATACCAAAAGCCCCATTGAATAAACTCCTTATTCACTGCATCATTCATGAACTCATTAGATATAATTTTCATTCAAATAGTTTAATTTAATTCATTTTGAATTAGCCCACATGGGCTGCTTGATTTGATGATCTGAAAAATCACGGGCCACAAAGGGCAGAGATACAGAGGACCACAAGGCCGAAACAGCTAAACAAGAAGAAAGAAGACAAGTCCAAACCACATGGAAAAAGCTCACTTCGTGTATCACACTTTGAGAATCTCCCTCAATGACCCGTTTACGAGGCTAAAACTGAAAAAAACCAGTGCATCAAACTTTGAAAATCTCCCTCAATTGACCCATTTTACATAAGCAAAACGAGGCCGGCCACGAATCGCCGGTAAAGCTGAATTAATCTTTCACAATCTTCAATTTTCCTTCACGTGAACAATGTTTTGGTTTCATATCAATGGTTGATATTGACATTGAGGCGGATTCTAGAGTAAGAAAGTTTGTTGATATTGTCATTGCGAAAATTCGTTGATATTGTCGTTTAGTCATCTATATGTATTAAACCAATCAATAGTCTTGGTAACAAGTAGGATTCTCATGACGAACCGTCGATTTGTTTTATGTGTATAAATCGCTTAAAGATCTCATGTGATTCAAAGTCGTCTTTACTTAAAGTCAAACCTAAGGTCTCTCACTTACAAGTGAAGAGGGATATCACTAGACGGTAGTACTAAGTGGCGTTGCTGCACCTTTTCTCGTTAATTCAACAGTCACAACCTTATTCATGAACTCATTAGATATAATTTTCGTTCAAATAGTTTAATTTAATTCATTTTGAATTAGCCCACATGGGCTACTTGATTTAATGATCTGGAAGACCACGGGCAACAAAGGGCAGAGATACAGAGGACCACAGGCCACAAAGGGCAGAGATACAGAGAACCACAATGCCGAAACCGCTAAACAAGAAGAAAGAAGACAAGTCCAAACCACATGGAAACAGCTCACTTCGTGTATCTCACTTTGAGAATCTCCCTCAATGACCAGATCTCCAAATTCAATATTTTTTTTGCATATATGATTTTAAAATAATGATAAATAGTGAACGGTTCCAATCGTGAAGTTTGGATGGTAAAAATTCATTAATCTAAGTTGAGGGACAAGTAGGCTCTCCCATGGAGGAAACACAAGCATTGTTCATCTAATATATAACCTAACGTTGGCCAATGTCAATGTAGAAAAATAAGTAATACAATTAATTAATTAAATTATAATTTTTAGAGTATTAAAATGATCTAAATATAGCATGCACGACAAGTAAATGTAGAGACTCGGGATCTCCAAATATAGGTAATTAAGCCTCCTTCAAATTGTTATCCACGAAAGCAAGAACATACATCATTTTTAATGTCTCACGCATTCCTCTTTATATATGGTCGTTAGATCGAATAAATCAAACCAAAACAACAAACATCATTAAGCAAGAATGTACTTGTGAGAGGCAAAAAAGTATGTACCGACCACTTCTTCACTATAAATAGGCTAGCTTGTCACTTTGAACTAATCTAAGCATCCACCTACCTAGAAAGACTTACACTACTACTAGTACTCCTAGTACCATCTTTGTTGTACTCCTCCTCCGTCATATGGCTCAAGCGGAATTTAATCACTTTACCTATCTCAGTCCTGAGCAGCTGCGCAAGCTTGCTCGTATACTTTACCACCAAGAAGCTGAGGCCATTAAGAATATCCAGTTCGAATACGAAGCCAAACTCGCGAAATACCTCCAGGATTCCAAAGCTTGTTATGAATCGGCGATAAGGCTTTTGGATAGTGCTGTTGAGAATCAATGTCAAGCCCAAAACCATAAGTAATCCACAACTCAATCTAAAGTCCAAGTCCATATCTAGTTTGATGATGTAAGTGCTTACAATTGCAAAGTTAGGCAAAGTTAGGTTGTGTGTGAAAACAAATAATTAGGTGCAATTAATGTGTTTTGTGTGGTAGTAAATAATCTTAGTTTAATTAAGTAGCTTTCATTTGGTTTGCTATAAATACCCAAGTCCCCAAGCCTTGTAAATTATCCAAGGAAAAACAAAGCCTAGAGCTAAATAAGAAAAGCTTTGCTAATTAGTTTGTTTTGTGAGCTTTCTTTAAGAGTGTGCTCTATTTTTCTTCTTCTTGGGATCATTAGAGTTATCTTGGATACTCTTCTTATTCAACAATTGGTATCAGAGCCAAGTCGGTCAGGGATCGTTCTTGGTAGAGCATTGGTTGTAAAGTCTCTTGAAATTCCGAGTATGCTCTGTGGTTGCAGTTTTGACTGATCTTCCACATCAGAAAAGATTTCTTGAGATTATTGCTGGGGTTATCACAAACCTTGAGAGGGAGCTTCTTTGTGTCGAGAGTAGTGTATTACTCTGCACGGTAGTCACTCAAGCTTGTTCGGTGTAGTTAAAGTCTTGCCGATACGATGGGTGATCTTCAAGTTGTTGGAGGAATCAAGAAGCTCAACAACCAAAACTATAACACGTGGGCAACATGTATAGAGTCTTACCTTCAAGGTCAAGACTTGTGGGAGGTTGTCGGTGGTAGTGAAGTTACACAACCGGCAGCGGAAGATGCTAACGGCGTCTTGCGGAAGTGGAAAATTAAAGCAGGCAAATCAATGTTTGCCTTAAAGACCACAATAGAAGAAGAAATGTTGGAGCACATTCGGGATGCTAAAACG